CAGTAAATCCTTTGGGGTGTGTGATATTGTGACATTGTTGAAAATTTGAGCTTGTTCAGCATCAGATTTCATCTGAAAGCCTCATAAATTCAACAGACAGCTCTAAATTTGAAACTCTTTATATATGCTTGAATCGTGAATAAAAACAATATTAATTTGAGTGACGACGTCATTTACAAAATACTGTCACAAACTTATGTGGAAATAAAGTGTCAGGTATTGCTTGGCTGACAACTCGTGCTATTATTCACAGAAGCTTATCAGTAAACACATAGTAAACCTGTTTTATAAGTAGTAGCATCTGGAGAGACCTTTGCTGACCAAACGATCTGTTTTCTTTTTAAATAAGTGCAAATTATTTGATTTAGAGTGGAGCTTATTCCATATCTGGTGGCGAACTGACAGTGACAGAAAAGACACTTGGAGTGCGCCCATTTGGGTAAGATAAAAAAAATACATGGGCGTGCTTTTTTTTCTCTAAAAATTTTGAAGACAAGGATTGTTAGGAATATTATTTTTCATGCGTTAACAATTTAATAATTTGTTCATCATTCTTCATCTTATGTATGAGTACCTACTTATTACAATTTTTTAGAGAATAACAGTGGTTTTGAAATGTCATTTCATACGACGCCTATGAACAATATTTTTTTAATAATAAACATATGTTTAATGTCAAAATTCAGTCATTTTTGACAACGTCAGTTCGCCACCAGATTTAGAACAAGCTCTACATGCTTTCATCGAGTTTCGACACGCCACGGTACATATCATTGTTAAATATTGTGTTTAATTATATGTCTCAAATACTTAAATTAAATATCACACTGTACACCCTTATACACCTTTTATTAACACACTACAACAACTTTAGTGCTAACGTTTAAGATTGTTGCCTCGTTGGTAATAGCAGGTAATTATTTTCAAAAGCTAGAGTAAGTTGGTGAAATGTAGTAAAAATTAGTCTTTGAACTTGTTTTTACGTATTACTTGAAATTAACCTTAAAAACCCTTAAAACACAGGATGCTAAAATTTTAATATCGCATTATAAGTGTAACAAAACTCATTTATATTTATGTTTCATCTAGACAAGGACTCACAATTACGAGTATATCAAAACATTTGCATATCAGCGAAATTGTTATTTTCTACTCTAGTGCTGATGCTTCAAATGTATCAACTTTACCACTAAAATAATAACGGTTTTAACATTTACTTTCGAATAAATAACTAACAAATAAACTTATGTATAACTAAAAACGTATGCAGCATAGTTTGCATGTCTAAGCAGCTATGAAACATGATGAAGCGCAACTAATTGACATTAATGAAAAATTAATTATCTGTCGGAATTGAATTACTAATTTTGTCTCCGAGTCTAGTTTGACTGGGTATGAAGCACAATGAAACTGAAGCGTGAGTAGATTGAGAAAGATGCTTATTTCAAGTAATTTATACTAATAAAATGTTTGTTTTAAAACACAGTTTTTTACTGCAACCAATAAACATTTCCATGAACTCAAATTATCATATTGCGGCTATCGCCTCGGCAACTAAACAGACAATCGTAATGAAGAATAAGACTTTAGTGCCTTGATACAAAAATTAACAATTCTCTAAACTTTAAATTTTGGTTTTAATAAAATCAGTCTCTAATGACTTTTTCGTGATTTACAATATGAGCCTTGAGAACATTACAATACATTACAATATTAGATTCCACATATAAAGTTAAATTAAGAATTGAGGTTTGATTTTCCAAGAAGTTTAATATTTATCCTATTTGGTGCATATGCACCAGGTGCATTTGTCGTCCCATCTCTATGATTCAATAAGGAGCACGTATACAGAATGTCTACTATCGGACCCATATTAATTTAAAGTCTCAGTTACTATTAATAAAAGAAAAGAGGTACATACTTCATAATTATTATACGGAACCCAAAAGTGATGATATTTTTAGTGACAAAACCAATTTTTTTACAAAATATTTTCAGGCAGAATGCTTTATTGTAGATTACCTAGAAGCTTTCAGTAAGAAAAAAAGACAAACCTTTCATGTACAAATTTTTTGAATGGTTATATATGACAATAAAGTTTAAAGTTTAACCTACTTTTGCATTCCATAAGATTTTTTTTCATAAAAAAACCTTTTTGGTTGAGAGAAGCTGAATCAAACATTATTTTGCAGCAATTTGAAACCAATTTTTAGGTAATTGAATTTCAAAGACAAATTGTAGTAAAAACTCCTACAAATTCTCACATACTCGTATAATCCAGCTCTTAATTATTGCTTATAATGTAAATCATTGTTAAGTAATTAGAACAAGTTGTTTGGGTTCTTGTGTATTTCACGTTCCCGGAATATTCACTTAAAAGTCCTCAACATATAAACTTTGGTAGTGCATTTCTGCATAAGACCGTCCCTATCCTTCATTGAACGTACGTAGTTGAGGCTCTATTTACGAAGTACATACATCCAGTTGCAATAATTTTCCTCACTTCTCGTGATTACAATACATTAGTGAATTTGTGAGTTAATGGAAACCTATCTCATAATTGCGATTTACTTGTTATTTGCTTGATAAAACTTTATTTTAAAATTTTTGTGCATACTTATATTCGTATACAAGGATTCTTTTAGGGCCTATATTAGAAACTTTTTAACTTCTAATGCAGATAGAAATTTAAAATTTGGTACACATCTCAAATCGACCAGTCTAAGTTCAATTAAATTATTTTAAAAATGGCTGAACTTCCGGAACTACTAGAAATTGGCGCCAACTTTGAAATTTTAAATGGTAACCACTTATTTTGATTGCATTTTTGAATTCTCCTCTCCAAACTGAGTAAAATGTATCTAGTTATTAGAACTTATCTGTCATAGTTTTTGACATATGTCAATTTTTTGCTCAAAATTTTCATTTGCAGAGGTTTATAAAAAAATCACAGCTCTTGAACCGTTTGCGATAAGTCAATATTTTTTTTTGCATTTGATAACCAAACGTCCGAAGAGTTTCCTAAAATTTTCAAAATTGTCAACTGTCAAATTGCAAAGCTTATATGATTTTTTGAAAATGATATTTAACAAACAGCTATAACTCAATTTTTTCAAATGAAATGACCCCATTTTCTCAACGGCAAGCGAAAGTACATCGATTTCTAGAAGGACTTTTATCAACATGTCCTATACCCATCTCTTACAGTTTCTAAAATAATAACGAAAAACATGTTTTTGTTTTTTATTTTTATAGTCAATCACGTAGGCTTTGGAAAATGATCAATACGTATTAAAGATTTAGTCTACACAACACCCATACGGAATTACGAAGAATTGAGGCAAGGATTGAGACGGCATTTAATAATCTTCAACCAAATGAAATAATGGAAGCCACTCAAATCAGTTCACCATCGAATTTTGGACTGTTTGAAAATGGTAAACATATCGAATATCTGTATTAATTATGGTATATCTTTATTGTATTTTTTCAAAGCCAATGTGATTAACTATAAAAATAAAAATTATAACATGTTTTTCGTGATTATTTCAAAAACTGTAAGAGATGGGTATAGGACATGTTGATAAAAGTCCCTCTACAAATTAATGTACTTTTGATTGCCGTTGAGAAAATAGAGTCATTTCATTTGAAAAAAACTGAGTTATAGCGGTTTGGTAATGATCATTTTCAAAAAATCATACTAGCCTTGCAATTTGACAGTTGACAATTTTGAAAATTCTAGAAAACTTTTCGAACCTTTGGTTATCGAATGCAAAAAAAAATATTCACTTATCGCAAAGGGTTCAAGAGCTGTGATGTTTTGAATGAACCCCTGCAAGTGAAAATTTTGACCAAAAAATTGACATATGTCAAAAACTATGACAGATAAGTGCTAACAACTAGGTACATTTTACTTATTTTAAAGAGGAGAATTCAACAATGCAATAAAATTAAGTGGGTACCATTTAAAATTTCAAAGTTGGCGCCAATTTCTCGTAGTTCCGGAAGTTCAGCCATTTTGAAAATAATTTAATTGAACTTAGACTAGTCGACTTGGGTTGTGTACAAAGTTTCAAATTATTATCTGCATTAGAAGTTAAAAAGTTTCTAATGTAGGCTCTAAAAGAATCACCTTGTATATTGTGTGCACTGAAATTGTAAAAATAACTATTTACGGTATTAAACCCGTAGCAACATTTTTATGTCTGCGCAAATACTTTTTTTTGCAAGGCCATACAAAATGCTAACGGTCGTATATGGGTATAAGATTTTTTAGAATACTGCAACGATCCCTTTCAAATTAAACAAAAAATTATGAAAATAAAAATTTAACTAGCGTTTACATAGTTACAAATGAGTCCCGTAGGTAGGCTACGGTCCGGTAGTAGACTACTACCGACCGAGGCCGGTAAATTTTATCTATCGGACTCGTTTGTAACTATGTAAACGCTAGTTACCATTTCAAAATGCTATAGTTATTTATTATTCAAGACGATAAAGTTGAATTTTATCTTTGAGAGCTGACGCCTCGACGCTAATATGCTTGAAAAGATAATGCAGATTTTATCGTCGTGTACAATATAAAATTTTATTCAATCCTCACTAATTTTGTAGTCAATTTGGTCGATATTTATAAATGTCAAAGTAAAACTCAACAATGAAATCTAATGTCAAAGATCGTTAGCAACTAACAACCGCAGATATACAACAATGGATGTATTTTTTATCATCTAGAAGATACAATTTTATTTTAACATGAAGAAAAGAGTAGATTAAATTCAATTTTAACATAGAGGATTCAATAAAAAAAATATTTATAATTGAAATTTAGACTATAAGACATTTTTTTCTATAATAATGTAATTCTAACTACGCTTTTGTAGTTTCAGAGGTAATTCACAGAGTGTACTTTAAATCCATTGATAACAGTTCATACCATCCAGCTTACAAAATAGATAGATTATTTTCATTTTTAAAAATAGGTTTTGTGTAATCACTTCTACAACCAGCGTTTTTTTTATTTTTTTCCTACAAAGTCATCTTTCATTAACATTATGCAACCAGACAATAAAATAATAAAACCAAGTATAGTATGTTGTATTGTTAATATCCAAAATGCTAGTAAGAATGTTGTTCTGTTGCAATATTTCTCTCCAACTGTTTCTTCATAATTCGGTTGATATTCTTTATAGACCCAATACGTTCCTAAAAAAAAATATGAGTACTTTCGAAGATCTAAATATACAGTATGTCCCCGGATTGAGTTTACAAGAGGAAAGTTTTTTTTATCTTTGTTTTTACGCCAAAACTTCAAAGGAACAAAGTTTTTGCTTTACTTGAAACCAGCAAATCTTTCATTATTCTAACTCAGTAGAAAGAAAAGTTCATTTTTCTCTTGATTTTGGACTTAAAATAATTTTTCTCTGCTTTTTAAGTCTTATCACATTGGCGGTTTTAATTATGTGACAACTATATGTCACTTTGACAATTAATTTATTAATTAAATAATGATAGTTTTTGTTAAAAATGACTGGTTTTTACCTTAAAGCTGTCTCTTTGAGTTGTTATTTATTAAAATTATGTTTTTCACAAAGATTTGTGTTATTTAACTTGCGTAAACTCATTTGTCAAAGTGACATCATTGTCAAAATAATAAAACCGCCAATGTGATAGGACTCAAAAAGTATAGAAAAATTATTCTAAGTCCAAAATCAAGAGAAAAATGAACTTTTCTTTCTACTGAGTTAGAATAATGTTTTAATTTCAGATTTGCTGGTTTCAAGTAAAGCGAAAACTTTTTTCCTTTGCAGTTTTAGCGTAAAATCGAAGATAAAAAATTGTTTCCTCTTGTAAACTCAATCCGGGGACATACTGTATGTATCTAACTAATTACTCTAAAATATATGTATACATATTTTAAATAAACCTTCTACATGTGGTTCCGTTTCCGCACCAAAACACGTATTCCAATATGTTAGAATGATTTGTATCATACGAATTTATGACCACGATATCTGATGGTTAGGTAGGAAATAAATTTAAATTAAAATAGAACTCACGCAGTTTAAATTTAGAAATATAAATTAGGAACATATATCATTTTTTTTCTTTTTTACATCAAAAAGTAAGTGATTACTTACCTAAGCAATGCCACACGATGTAAAACAGAGCCAAAGCAATGACCACATTAAATAAGTGCTTATCCGTCGTACCGCTAAGACTTTTAGTTAGTGCACCTACAAATCCTAATAACTCTATAATGATTGACATAACCTTCTGCAAAATGTTACCTGCCACAATTAAGTATATTGGTATCAGTCTACTGACAGAGCAATTATTAAGATTTAGCCATCCTATAACAAACATGAAGAAGAATATGGCATATAGTAAAACCAGCGAAGCGTTTATTCCAGCTGAAAATGAACAGTAAATTAAATATTCAGTCCAGTACACCGGTCTTATTAACCACGTTAATAACACTGAAGTCAAAAAAGGTACCATACAACTGAATTCAGCTTAGATATTTTTTTGAGATACATACATATTCGAGGAAAATACATTTTTAATGACATCCATTCTAGTTCTTTCATTAATCATTACTGACTTACGCGGTGCTTTCAATTTGACCTTTTCCAGAACTTCGCTTTCTTCTGATTGTGTGTTCCTTTCATTATCTTGTTTTTCTATATCGATAACAGTTCCTAGTGTTTTTGCATTTGACATATTGGTAAATTTTTCAAACAACTTTACACTTTAATTACACATGCGCCAGTATGTAAAGCAGCGCGTATACTTGTTTCTCTATTTATATATTTTTTGTACGGTGCTCATTTATATTTTTAGTTTTGAATTTAGGTTTGGCATATTGTGTAGAGTGGTAATCTAAATAGTTGGCACCATCAGTATCAACTACAGACGGATATTAAATCCTTTGTACTCGTAATTGTTTGCTGTTAGAAGTTATTTGGGGATTTTATTTTAAGAAATAAACTTTTAGAATATTATACATTTATTTGATAATAAAAAGATTATTATAAAAACATAATAATTCAATAAATTACATAATTATATCATGTGAAAATTTATTATAATATATTGTTTTTATGGAGTTTCGGTGACTAGAGTGATTTTAGCAGTTTCATCGTCAACCTTGAGAGCTGACGTTTGAGTTTCTTCAGCGTTTACAGGTGGAGATTCAGGATTGCCTGTTCTCGTAGCTATGGCAAACAAACACAGGGCACAACATATAAAACAACAAAATCCCGCCAAAGTTGCAATAATTATAGCGTAAAATGCTGTTACATAGACAAATGCAAACAAATAAGCTGTTTTGTTACAATACGATTTTCCATCTAGAGGATCGTAACTGGGTTGAAATGCTTTGTATACCCAATAAGTTCCTTAAATACGGGAATATTGTAAAATGAATCAATTCTTTAATAAAACTCACCTAAGAAAAAAAAAATAGTCTCAACACTATACAATGCTGATTCGATGTATAAGACTTGTACGTGTTTTGATAATCTTTCCCGTATGTAACTTACAAACTTAGCCACTAATCCTATAGCACCTGTTGAAGAAAAAAATAGAGCGTTTTTTTATAAACAGAATATAACTTACCAGTGGCTATTAAAAAAAGTGGAATATCTTTATTGACGGGACATTTGTGAACATTTAAACATCCAATTACCAACATAGAAAAATTTAGAGCAGCAGATATTAAAAGAGTGACTTTCAATCCAGCTGCAAGAAAAATATGTAATAGATCAATGAAATCATAAACAGTTTTAATCTACATTTTTTAGTGTAGGATGTAAAAGTGTGAAGAGAGGAATGAAATAATAAATTGTACTCACGTACAAACTTCTCCTTCAGTGTTTTTATGGAATTCTTTACTACCGCCTTTTTATTCTTCCCATCATCACCTTGATGTTGTTCATCCATAACTCACTCTCAAAAGTAAAGGATCACCACATCTCAATGTATTGAGGCATCCCCACACATTGCTTGAAAACTACTAACGGGACTGACCTTCGTTCTATTTACTAGAATTCCTGGCGCCATTTGTGGGCGTGCATAAACCAAGCCAATCAAAATTAACTTATGTAACTCATTTATTTGTAGGTCAGTCAATATTTTTCGCTAAGTGCAGTGTGCTTTTAAGCTTAGTTTTTTACACGAAATGTATGTAATGAAAATAAATTAACTCATGATGTTGCAAGTATTTTTATTCATTTTAAAGAACATGTAGATACAAGTGCATTTATTCTTTGATCTCGGCTTTTGTTCCTTGTTCTGTTGGAATTGGTATCTCCACCCTCTCCATTTTATCTTCCTCAGTATCATGAGGAGGAACGTATTTGTCAAGCAGCAATAGACTGAGTACGAAACATCCAACAATTAACATTATGAGGAATATTAGGGAATAAATTACTGTCATATAAATAAATGCAAATAAATACAAAGTTTTGTTACAATATGGTTCACCATTATCAGAATCATAGTTCGGTTCATATTCCCTGTAAACATAGTATGACCCTATAAATAAATGGAACATTTCTTGACTTTCTTTGGATACCCAGACCCACCAACAATAAGTAAGGTTAATTCTCCTGTTAAAATAAAAGATAATATCGGAGAAACACTTAGGTGTTTTATTAAGAAATTTTTGAAAAGGCTTATCAATTTGGTAACTAGGCCTAGAATACCTAAAAATCGAAAGTAAAATATTTTTATAATAAAATCTTACTTACCCAAGTATAGTAAATATTTTGGTATGTCAGGCTCAGCAGTACATTTATCGTAATATGTAGCAGCAATAACAATAGTCGCTACATGAATTAAACTGAAAAACACAAAACTAAACTTCAACGAACCTAAAATATCAACTACTTTCAGTTTTATTCTAAAATAAACTACTGATACATACCTTGACACTTTTCTTTTAGTCGTTTGAGTCGTGTATTTTTATTTAAATATTTTGCATCTTCATTTGTTATATTTTCTTCCGTCATAGTTGGACTGGCTACTTTCCGCGAACGATTTTTGTGCTACTAACGACTTCTGTTTCAAACTGTTGTGTGGCGCTGCAACTGGGTCTTTGTTGAGGCGTAACACACCAAGCACTTTTATTTGAAGTTGACATGGACAACACACTAAACTGTTTGCACAGATTGTAATTTAAGATCTTTGTTACGACAAATGGAAAATTTTCTATTGAGAATAGTCCAAGATAAAAATGAACAAGCTAATTTTTATTTTCAAATTATTGTGATTTGACTTTTAGTTAATTTTGAATTGGACAGGAATATTTTTGTTTATGCGAAAAACCTTTACATTTTAATTTTTTTCTTAGTTGTTTTTTATATAGCTACCTTATTTTATAAGATATTATATTATATTATAATATCTTATTATTGGCACCATGATTATTTGTAATAAATGCGAGAATTTGTTTGTTTTACACGACGTTTATAGTATATTAATGAACAAGTATTATAAAGGTTGATTTTCTATGGGATGAGTGCGCCAATGCCATTATAAAACGAGTATTTTATGCTATTTTTTCTAATTTGCGCCCCCTTTTTTCTTATTTTAATTAAAAAAATATATATTTTTATCGCCTAGAGAATTTTGTGTTAGTTAGTATCGGTTGGTAACACTCGACGCCCACCTGTTTTTTTGAGTCATTTCTGCCGTCTGTCATTAAAAATAAAATTTACAAATTATTAGTTATTAGTGTTACAACGTAATAATAATAAATAAAATATGAGAAACAGAATTTAGTTTGCATTCCGCCCGAAATTCGCGAAATTGCCGAAGCAACAACGCAAAATTTGTTAGTCAGAAGCGGCATCCAAAAACTAAATAACCCTAAATTCATTAAAGCACAGTGTGCTTTTATAGATAGCCATAAACGACTCCTACTGGAGACGTTAATAAACGTATTATAAACGCAAATTAGAAAAAATAATCAATATCATATTTAGCCAACAGTATACTCATTTTCATATTAATCTGCATCAAAGTAGTCGTTGAAAGAGATCATTTTAAGGTGGCAACCATGCAAAAATTCAAACAATCCTAACCTCAATCTTCCCTAAAAAGTATTTTCTCAAATAAATATGTGTACCCCAGGTTACAAGAAATAATTAAAATTAACAACGTAATTAACATAGGGTGACAAAAAAAATGTCATTATTGATGTCATTAAATTCGTTCTGAATGACATTAATGACACTTTGTGTGAATCGGCCTTTAAATTAAAGCCTTAAACTTTACCAACTCAAATTGTAAACAAATATGATCTCTAAGGTTAGCTCTTTAAAATCTATTACATTGTTTTAAAAAAAAACATAAAACAATAAAAATTTTGAATAATTTTTTTCATTAAAGATATCACCTAATTTCCTTACCTCAAATGTTACCGATTACTAGCAATATAAAGTTTGGGATAAAACACACAAAACGTTCAACTTTCGTTTATACTGCAATTTTTTTAACAATTTTTCCGACGTCCAAAGTGGAGGTTGCACCCTATTATCTCAGAAACTATAAACATTCGGTTAAGGCAAATTGAGTTATTTTGCCTTCTTTTGAGCTTGATTAAAACTAAGGCAAAAGCAAATTAAATGATGACAGTGTCAAAACTATGAAATGACTTTTCGCTTTCGTTGTCGTAGATAAGATTTTCTTATTTATTGCAACAATGAAATTATATTTTAACAAATAAATAATTCCACTCACCGTCAAACTTTGTATCAATGTTTTAGAGTTAAATAACATTCTTAATGATGACATTTCTAAAAGTATTTTTTCGGTTACCTTATTTCTGTATGCTTTTATTACCAGATCAATTGTCAACTCCAAGACCGTAAACACCCTGTATATAAATTTATTCTAAAATAAATTATTTAATCAAATGACAAAACAGAGATGCTCTTGAAAATATGGTCAATGTTGACTTTTAGACTTGCAAAAGTATAGCAGTTGGGCGCCACTTCTGGCACCTGAGCAAACGTTGTGCTGGCAATCACCGTCGGCAACCATTGTAGTTTATTTTTCAGACACCGTTGCTGGTAGTGAACACAATTTTAAATCAATCTGTGTTAATATTGTACAAGTGCTACGTGATTTTTCATCTTTTGTTGCGCTACAAAATATAAGAAAATACTTATTATGGAAACTTTATTTAAACGTTTCTGGTAAAACGACTGAAATCAGCAAAGCAATTGTAAATAGAATATGACAGCATTTACGAAAATGTTATTGTTCCAGAAATTTTAAAGATGTCTTTTATTACTTATGTAAGTTGTGCGCTACGTGTCTGGTCAAATGTCACAGCATTCATTTATTTATTTAAGCAGGTCAAATTACGCAAGAGTAATTGGCAGATTTATTATATGATGATTTACCTACCATAATATTTAGTTGAGCATTCTGAATTTTTGAAGACATACAATGATCTCAGATCATTTTCTAGCATCTGAAAGTATACATTGGAAGAAACCGACGTTTGTTCGATTATAGGTAATGCATACATATAATAATAAGTAGGTGGAATATCTATCTATTTTAAAATCCATGATTTTTTAAATTTGTATTTTTCTGCACATGTTGTGCCACAGCCATCGGCCATTGCTGTCACTTTTCACAATGTTTTTTTCTGTATGTATATAAGAGTGGAGCTTCTTGACAGAAAACTTGTCAGCAGGATTTAGTTGTAACACAGATTCTTCTTTTACACGGAAATCAAATGTTTCTGATCTACTTCGCCTAAAAAACGCAGTTGCGATGTTGCCAGGGTGGCGATGGATACGCCATAGGTAATAAGTAGTGACTTGCTTGTTTTAAGGTAACTATGTAATTATATCTTTTCCCGACTTGTAAATTTACTAATCAAATACGTTGTAACTTGGTAAACAACCCTTGAACCCATGTTTTCACAAGAGGACGCGCTTGGTTGAAGCATTAGTCTCAAACCTTAAATATCAGGATAAAACAAATTTCTAACAATATATGCATTTAATTTACATGGACAAATATTTTAATGAATAATGATAATGACCCTATTAAAACGTGTTGTAATTCCTAAAGGCAAAACGCAAGCCAAATATTTGACTTGAGTAGAATTTGTTGACTGAACTACAAAAATATAGGTACAGGGATGCAAGAAACGTTTTAGTTTCTTTATGCTAATTTTCACATACCTATTTATTGTTCCTTAATATAGATTTTTAAAGATGACAGCCATGTTTGTCGCTTCGCTCAGAAGTCAAATCAAAAACATCTGCGATTGTTATGACATTCATTACATCTTGGTATGTTATTAGCTACTAGCTAGATATTATGAGCTATTATCAATAAGCAGTAACAAGAGTATAAGTACCAAATAATGGAAACCAGGTTTATGTTACGAAAAATCCATTTTCATTTCTTTATATCAGCTTTACATAGACATACACATTTGAAAAATTTAATGTAATGTGTAAATTACAGTAAGTGCTAATTTTATAATCGGAGTTAAAGGAGCATTAAGTTAAATGTTTTTTAGAATGTGTTGAATACTATGGACTTGTTGACAAAAATTTCGTATTCTAAACTAAAATTATCTTCAAAGTCCTTTTAATTCGATTATGAAACTGGTCCTTATCTTCATAAATAAAGCAGATTTTTATTTTGTATCTTTTAAATTGAAGATACGCTACTGAGACTATCTTTAAGTGGCACCCATGCATTGATCCATGCTTTTTTAAATTGAACATTGGGCTATGTTAAGAGTTAAATGTTCTGAATCAAGTTATTTTAACAGTGACAAATCTTTCTCACTTTAGGAGGTTAAAAGGTTTATATTATGAGAGACCTTAAGAGGGTCCAAACAAGTTTTTACAATTGGTTCAGACTTGAAAAGAAAACAGTTCTTTGTTTTTTATTTGAACAATACGTGCCATATGTTTTATTCGGAAGAAGCTAAGCTGACTTTAAACTCAAAGGTCTCGACGGTGTCCCGAACTTTTTAAAATTCGGAAGTTATTGTTGTTGTTGCTAAGCTTTTTAATCTGTCATATTCATAGGTCGCAGTCGGCTGTAAAAAACGAAATTCGGAACTTTACTTTTAAAAAATTTGTCAAATTCGAAGTAGGTAATTCTCCCAAGTACCCAAAAGACTTTTTTTAATGACAGGAGTACCATGAATTGTATAATTTATTCCCAAATAAATAATAGTCTAAGAGCCCGCGGTCGCCAGACCTTCGTAATTTTATAAAAGTTGAAAATTTGTCAGCGCATACTTCCAACACAGGTAGGAACGATGGGTAAGTATGAAGTTATCGTGGCTTTGGGAGACAACAGATAACAAAGAAGTAAAAAATATCAAGTTAAATTTGTCAAATAAAAAAGCGTATTTTTTTATATTTCCTTCGGAATAATATTAGAAATCACCTCATCCATTGCCAGACACTTAACTTCGTGGCAACCCCTTTTCAGACACCCTTAAACTTTAATAAATTGTAACTGGGGAAGCTTGCGTTCGCACACGCAGCCCTTCGAGGGTATTAATTTGAGTTGCGTACACTAATTTTTCCTCCATTTTGTGTTTATTGTCCTTGAAATATGATAACCTGATTGCATAGAAGATGGTTTATAGGACACAGGGAAATAAAAAAACATTAAATTCGTCGCGACGTTTCGAAACTTTTATTGTATCTTCTTCAGCCTAAAATATAGTCGTTTAGTTTTTGATGTACGATTGGAAAATTTGACCTTACCGAAGCATTCTCGTTGGTTGAGCGTGTGAAGCATGGCACAAGTCAAGGAAGAACTGAGACTGGCCAGCTGTTATGCGCAAGACGGATGTTTTTGAAAAACTCAACCACCAACAAAAATTCCCAGTAACATCACACTTCCCTCGCCAACAATTAAACCTGTCAATAAATAATATAAAAATAACAATAAATTGTAAAAGGCTAAAGTCTAAAACACAACACATTAAAACAAGTTAAAATTGGCAGTTTTGTCAGTTTTACAGCCAATTTTAACAACTGACTAAACTCACGCATGTAAACAACTGATAATTTTTTTTGGCAAAAAGTTCCTTTTTTTTCACGCTCAACATTCAATGCAAATTATTTTCATTGATATTTTTACTTCCAACTAACAAGGACAGGCACACTGAACGGCTTGTGAAAATCATGGGGGGAAGTTACAAAAAAATTTGGATACGAAATTTATTTGGTCTTCAATTCGACTTTTCATAACAAATTATCTTAGTGGTTAAAATATTTGCTCGCAATCCGCGAACAGTCTGTATAATTGACAAAACTGAAGTGTGAAACTTCCAATGTTGGAAATAAATGATTTCTTTACAGCTACCTTAGGTAAACGTGCATGCGAGTGGAAATGCTCAATAACACCACGTGTGGAAGATTTTCGCCAAATATTTCAAAGTTTTGTTGCGTCGTACGAAATCCATAACGTGTTTAAAATGCTTCGAAATGAAAGCAGGGCATTTTGAGCATTTATTGTAATTTATACAATATAATGTGTGTTGATTCGTTATTTAGACTTTAACCTCAAATTAATTTCTGTCAGATTTGCATCAAGAGCACCAACTACCCAGAGAAAGTCCCGAGACTCTGATTATAAATTCAAACATTCTGGACAAAGAGATGGGACATCAAATTTTTGATACTTTTTGAAAATTCACTGTAAAGCGGGCTTAACATTAAATTTGACTTTTCAAATTTTCTCAAACGTCAAAATGCCAGGAAATTTGCTGATAACTAATACTTGTGCCCTGTGCCATAGCCATCATCACCCCGGCTCTTTTCTTATCCTGTGTGTGTGAACTGTGAACTGAACCTTAAGGCTCTAGGGTACCGAATGAACTGTACAGATTTGGTGTACTGTAAGTTGCATACTCTATTTAGATTTTTATTCTGTGGCAGCTGTCAATCATCCGACCTTCTCTACCTGGTGCCTGGTCCCTTTAGTCATAAAATGGAAATAAAGTAAACAAACAGAATTTCACCATCCATGAGTTTCTCTTATTTCAGAGATTCAGATTCTAGCTCAGTAGAAAGAAAAGTTCATTTTTCTCTTGATTTTGGACTTAGAATAATTTTTTGACAATAATGTCACTTTGACAAATGAGTTTTCGCAAGTTAAATAAAAAAAGTGTGGGAAAAACATAATTTTGATAAATAGCAACTCAAAGAAATAGCTTTAAGATAAAAAACAAAGTCATTTTTAACAAAAAATCATTATTTATTAACAAATTTAAAAAAATGTATCTTTCATTTTACATCAAAACTGCAAAGGAGAAACATTTTTCGCTTCACCTGAAACGAGCAAAATCCAAAATCAAAAGAAAAAATTACTTTTTTTTTGGTTCATTATTAGTCATTATGCTCAGATAAACCAGGTGCTTATGCCAACCCAGTTCCAGAAAATTTTGAAAAACAAGGTTTAGTGGTGGGTTTTGCTAAATTTTATGGTGGTGGTAGGGACTTATATATTGAAAACGTACAATTTTATAACTTGTTTACTTTTTGCAGTTTGCTAGTGGCTCTCTTCCACCGCAGTGCTTTGAAATTTTCTTATCACTTGTTGTTGAAAACGTTGTATTGAAATTATGGGTAATAATTCTAAACAATTTCTTTCAAAAAAAAAAGAAAAATTCGAAAATGATGCGTAATTATTGGAAAAACAACGAAAAGGTTCTAAAACTGATCTTCCAAGTAAATCAAGTCTTGCAGAATGTAGTTTTCAGTCAAGTGAATCGAGTTCCGATGACGATGAAGTGTTTATTATTGACAAAGAAACTAGTCAAGAACAAAATTTTGTTCCAAGTGGTCGAAGGATTGTTGACATAGATCATTTATTTTTGGAATTAAAAAACATAAAACATAACATTTTTCCTTGTAGTTTTTTGAACATTAACATCATTCTAGAAACACATTTGTGGTTTAAAAGTGTTTTTAAATACAAATGTAGTATGTGTGGGGCAATAGGAACTTTTAGTACCGAAAAAGAAAATCACACAAATGAAGTAAATGAAGCAGTTGTTTGTGGCACAGTAGCAATAGGTGCTGGTTATTCTCAACTAMCAGAATTTTGCGCAGCTTTRAACATTCCACAACTGGAAATGCAAAATGCATGTCTACAAAAAAATTCGTAATGCGAGACCCTAWGGACCTAATTATTTCATTCAAAAAATTGAATGCCGATATCACATACTACGAATTTTTTGTACCAAAATTAAAGAAATCGCTAAAACTCCCCGATCCGACATAAATATAAAAACATTCTTGCGCAACAATTACTTGAAATTTAGAACAGCAATTGTTTCAGCTATAAAATACAGAAAAAACGAAAGCTGTACAATTCATCAGAAAACAGAAAACTGATATTTTAAATGAACTCGCACATATTTTTGGTGATCATTCAAATTGCGCTTCGTATTTCTGTAAAACAGTTTGTCAAATAACAAATGCAGTTGCATATTCTGATTTATTAAATAGTTCTTTGTTTGAGTTGTTCATGCAGGCATTAAAAAGAGGTGCAAATTTATCTTCAAGTCTTTTGTACGATGTCGATAATAATTTCACAGAAACCCAAGCTGCGAAATTAAATAAAAGAAAAATTCGTATTCAGAAATTCAGATTCGTATTCAAAAAAATTCGTATGCAGATTCCGATTATGGTGCGACTGATGACATAATAGATATGCCAATGGAAACATATGAAAAAATAAAAAGTGAGTTTTTTGAATGATTTGGCTGCTTGCAATATTTTAAAAATCCCTATTGAAACAATTGGTCAACATAATAATGAGCAGTGGGATAAAGAAAGAAATAACAGATTAACAGCTAGTAATATTGGAAGAATTATAAATATGAAATGTAAAACCAATACAGCAAATACTGTAAAAAATATCTTATATAGTGTAGGTGTGTCTAAATTTCAAAAATTGCCTGAACCTCTACAATGGGGTATTGATAATGAAGAAAAAGCAAAGGAAAAGTTTGAGCAAATCACAGGTTTCAAGGTAGACTCATGCGGCTTTTTTGTTGTTGAAGAAAAAACATTTTTAGGTGCAACACCAAATGGATTAGTCGGTTCAAATACTATTGTTGAAATTAAATGACCATTTATTTTGCAGATGGTGCAGATGCATATCTTTGCTTTGAACAAACGCAATAGAACGATCATGTTGTGGGTTACACCCTAGGGTGCGGTCGTATATCTTACAGCAGGTACCGGAGCTTATGAAATGATTGTGTATTATTGGTTGCCTACTTTCAATTTAATTTTTGCTTTATATCAAAGAATCAAGAACAGTTATCAAATTCGCATTACATCAGGGCACTCTAGTTTTAAATTACTTATAACATGTTGTTTTTTTTTAATTCAATACTGTATACCGTTATCAAAAAATCTTAATAATTAAAATTTTCACATTTTATTCAATAAAAAAATATCTACTAACTTATTTAAAGCGGGAATATTTCCCTGGTCTCCATTTACCTTTAGAGAAACACTACAAACATCAAGAAACTCTTCAAGTCTAAATTTGCGGCTAAAAACAATGAAATAAATTTACATGTAATAGGTATACGCCAGCTTTCAGGGAGTCTGGAGCCTTAATGAGAAATTTTTGTTTTCATACAGAAAAAACATCCCGAATAGTGACAGCAATGGCGATAGGTGTGGTACGACATATACTGAGATTTTGAAAAATTATAATGGACGTCAAGCCTGCTTTATTACAGTGAATTTTTAGAAAGTGTAAAATTTTGATGTTCCATTTTTTGTCACAGTCATATACGATATCGAAATTTTATTATATCTTTTAAGAGTAAATTACTATTAGCTTTAGGTGCTTTATAAATGAAATTGTATCAAAACAATATTCGGAAATTGCTAAATTTTAGTATGACATTTGTTATTTCATTTGATATTAATATTCAACATTTGCTATAGTATCAAAGAATGTTACGTAAGCGAGCTACACCCCTTGAAAGAGATGCGTTTTTTAATGGGGTTTTCCTAGTATTCCAGAATAGATAAAATTATAAAAGTTGGTACAGTTGATAACACTTGAACGAATTCAAAGATCAGTTGTCGAAATTTTTAATCACGGGCGTCTTGAATTCGTTTGGGTGTATAAAGGTTATCAGTTGTACAAAATTGTGTAATTTTATCTACAATGGTTGCTGAAATATTGGAAAAATCCATTAAAAGATGTACTCCTTTCAGGGGATGTAGCTCCCCTATTTAATATTTTTTAATACATGTTCATAGGAAACTTTTATCTTAAAATTGAACATTCTATCACCTGCGTAAATTTGTAACAATAAAAACGGAACACTGTAGATTGTCACAAGTCTTGTGATATTTATGAGGTTATTAGTAGTTGATATGATAGTTACGGATTTTTTGTTTTGTTTTAGTAAGCGTTGTATGTACTCTCAACTTCCTAAAATGGAACCTCATGGCATTAAATACTTTATTAATCAAGTTAATTTTTTAAAGCAATGTAATTGAAAAGTGTTCTTTCCGTAATTATTTTCAGAAACTTCCTTGGCTACAATTTTCTCATAGTTGACAAAAATTCTAGTGAAACTACTTGGAACGGGTGTTTTAGGTTCATTTTAATATTCACCAACTGATAAATTTGCAATTTACCTAAGACCTTGCAAGCTCATTTGCAGTAATTGCCAATTTGATTCAACCGCTGTGAAAGATACATGATGATCTAGTTACTATAACATTTCCCATCTCGGTTTCACGACAAATTTAAATATTTTATGAGCATGTAGATGTTGGTACATAAATGAGCGTCAAACTTGATATTTTTTTCTACAAATTGTATATTATATCGAGAGATCAAGATAATTTGTAATCGAGTCATCCTTGGATCCGAAAAAGTATGTCTGTAAAATGTCAAGTAAAATGACAAGTGAAAAGGTGATGATTTTAATAACTAAATTTATATTTTACCTTCAAAAAACGGTCCTGTTATTATACAGGCCCTCCAGAAAGTTGTGCACCTCTTTGAAAGGGAGTAATTCGGTAGTTCCACAGAGTACTGAAAAAATGTTTAAAAAATTCTATTTGTCAAAAAATTTTGACATTTATTATTTTAACATTTGACATGTTTTTGTGTCTATTTAATGATACTAATGATGTTGTATATGTTTTTTTTATATCTATTTAGTAAAGGCACAAAAATTTTCCCAATAAAAGCCACAAATAACACAAAACGGAGTTGGAAAATTTGAAAAATTATTTTTCGAACAGAAATAAATAGAGTCAAGATCAAGGCAAGATCTAAATTTTCATAACTTCGAAATTTTTATATGTAGATAGATTTTTTTAAACATTTTTTTTGTTGTTTAGGGCACCGCCCTAACCTCCGCACACGGAGGTGCGGACTTTCCGGACAGCCTGTATGTCGGCGACTAATTCCACTCCATTTTGCCGTTTTACCTTTTGACTTGTCATTTTATTTGACGTTTCACGTGCAGTTAGTTCAAAAACAGACACACGTTTACGGATTCAAAGATGACTCAATTGCAAATTATCTTGATGTCTCGATATTTTTGTAATTGTAATTTGGTCGTCCTCGTTACATAATTCTTCAGTGTATTTCTGTACTCACATAATAAGGTGGAATTTTTTCCCCTTTGATGTTTTCTGGGACATCTGTATAAATTTTCCATACATTTTCGGATCCAATGATGACTCGATTACAAATTATATTGATCTCTCCTTACTTATATGATTTGTATATGACAAAATAAACAGGAAATTGTTAAGTAAGCCGGTTAAAAGAGAAATAAATAGTAGGTACATACACATAATTATATTTAGTGCTACGTTGCGAAGTTTTGAGTTAACATTCGCGTTCTCGATTGTGCTTATGCTTTCTGTTACTAATTAATTCAATAGCCACATGAACTTGGTTGCAATAAATGAAGATAACCGCGTGACAAAACTTAATTGTACAATGTAATAAATGCATTACATGAGGAACT